CACTGCTCCTCATCCCCAAGCTTCAGCTCTAGGGCCCCCTCCTCCTGCGTGCTGTGACACCAGTGGTCCTCTGCCCTCCTCCTGCTCCTCCACTTTCTCCTGACACCTGGATACCCTTCCTTGAAGGCAGCACTTCCCACAGTGGGCTGGAATCATGAGCTTTCTTGTCAGTCCTTCCCAGCAGCCTGTGAGCCTCTTCAAAGTTGGGGTCATATCCTTCCCTCCATTTCCAAGACCTAACACATCTGGCTACCAGTGGCAGACGAGCTGTCACTGCTCCCACCACTCCCAGAACCATTCCTCAATGCCTCTACAGCTCCCTGGCTGAGGCACCTGCCCACCTGCCCCTGCTTGCCCTGCCCAAGGTGGCCTTCACCCAGAGGCAGCTTCTCCTGCCTCCCACCATGCCTTTTCCACCCCAACCAAAGAGCCCACTTCCCAAGAACAGAATTACATCGCAAGCATTCTAACAAGACTCACAGGATGTTAGAGCTGAAGGGGACCTCACAAATGATCTGGCCCAGGGGTTTCCAAATGCCTGTCTGTAGGCTGCTGCTGGACTGACTGCAAAAGAGTAACATGGGGAGTGACTTTAAAATGCAGATACCCGGGCTCCAGGCATGGAAATTCTGACTCGATACGTCTAGGATGGGTCCTTGCTTTTTTTTTTTAAGCTTCCTGGTTCACTCTAATACACTGGTCTAGTCCGACCTCTTCATTTTATACATGCGTGGAGAACTGAGGCTCAGAGAGTGGAAGTTCACCCCTCAGTTACCAAATGCCAAGACCTACAGCTGGCGCTGAGGACACAGAGCTGAAGGCCCAGACCCTACTCTTGAGCACCCACACGCAAGCCACTGAAAACATCTGTGGGTGCCACTGAAGGCTCATCAAGGGCACAGAACCCTACAGATGTCACCTCACCCTCCCTTGTGCTCCCTTTTGCTTTATTTATTCTTCCTCACCACATAATTTTCTACCTTTACTACAGTTATTTCAGTAAAACATTCTCTCTCCTGCTATTCTATAAGCCCTTCAAAAGGCACTCACTGAATTATTAACCGGTGTTTCTACATCGGGATCTCTACTTGGATGTCTAATAGGCATCCAACGCCTACTATGTCCAAAACATAACTCTTGATTTCCACCTACAGTCTTCCCCACTTCAGTAAATGACACCTCCATCCTCCCAGCTGCTTAGGCCAAAACCTCTTTCCTTCACACCTTTCATCCAACCCACAAGCAAATCCTGATAACACTACCTTCAAAATATACCCAAGCCCACCCACTGCTCACTACCTCCATCTCATATCTCTCCGAGAGTCCCACAAAAGCCTGCTCGCTGGTCTCCCTGCTTCCACCCTTGTCTCTCCTAGTCATTCTCAACACAATCACCGGAGTACTACTTGTAAAACACATGCAGGCCGGCCACAGTGGCTAGCACCTATAATCCCAGCACTTTGGGAGGCTGAGGCAGGAGGATCACTTGAAGCCAGGAGTCCGAGACCAGCTTGGGCAACTTAGCCAGACCTCATTTCTACAAAAAAAGTTTAAAAATTAGCCAGGCATGGTGGTGGATGCCTGTAGTCCCAGCTACTTGGGAGGCTGAGGTGGGAAGATTGCTTGAGCTAAAATAGTTTAAGGCAGCAGTGTACCATGATTGTGCCTGTTAATAGCCGCCACACTCCAGCCTGGACAACATAGCGAGACCCTATCTCAAAAAATAAAAATAAAAAAATAAAACACACATCAGATCATGTCCGTCCTCTCTTCAAAACCCTTCAATGCCACCCGGTCTCACCCACAGTGAAATTCAGTCTTTCCCACAGCCTGCACACCAGATGATCTAACTGCCCTCCAACTCCTATGCCTCTCTCACCGCGTCTGTCCAGGCATGCAAGGCAGCCTTATTGTTCCTCAAGCATGTCAGGCATGCTCCTGCCCCAGAGCCTTTGCATTTCCTTTTCCCTCTGCTTGAAACGTTCTTCCCCCAGATCCCTGCGGGCTTACTTCCTCACTTCCTTTCGGTCTTTACTCCAACATCACTTTGTCAGCAGCCATCCATGACCATTCTTCGTGAGAGACCAATCCCCACCCCCATCATCAATCTCTACCCCTTTACTCTGCTTTATTTTTCTTCCCAGCACTCATCACCATCTAACACACACACCCGTTCATTACTGTACTGTCTGTTTATAAGCTCCAGTGTGTTTACTGGAGGATAATACACCATTAGAAAGGGGAACAATTTGACAAGCTCATTTGTCCAGAACTAGATTGCTCAAGATATTCACAGATTCCCAAGCAGGTTTGTTATCAGTCAAAAAGTTGGCAAATATGCAACCTTCTGGGTGTTTTGCTTTTTAAAACTTTTTATACACAGAGGGACCTTCAGTGTTGACGGAAGCTCACCAGTGGGAAGGGGTCTACCCAAAGTAACCCTTGTCTATGAATCTCCTGGGGCCCTGTAGGGGCTGATTAAATTAAACATCATCTCAGTGGGAAATGCCCACTGGCCAACGTCGCCATGGTAATGTCATCTGCCTGGAGGGTGGGATCAGCATGACGCCAGTGGAGAGGGAAGGCTGGCTCTGAGAACCGCAGGGAAGAGGAGGACACGGGGTGGTCCTGAGTCTTAAGAAAAGGGGATACAACTTTGTGAACAGACTAAAAACCACTGAATTATAGAGTTTAAATGGACGACTTATATGGCATATAACTTATGTATCAATTAGGCTGTTATATTTTTCAAAACATAAAAAGAAAAAGAGAACTGGAAGGGTTGGGATCACACAGGACTGTGAAGCTGACTGCGACAGGCGGAAGCCAGACACAGACAGCGAGTTTACACTGAGCTGAGAACTCAGATAAAAACTGATCCTGTGTGACCTGGGCCCTCGTCATCTTGGCACTTACTGGGCACCACACTTTGTTAGAAGGGAACAAGACACAGAGATTTGAAAAAAAGTGGGACTCACTCCTTTTATTCACACACCAACCTGGGGTGTCCCTCCCACTTAACTCTGGAAAAGTATCATCTCTTGGTAGTGGGGACCCCACATGTAAACAAGAAGCCAGCAGCCTCAGACCCACTGGGAACCAAGCCTGCCCTCCCTGAGCAAAGGATGCAGAAAAGAGAAAGTGGCCATTCCACAGGCTCACTCTTTCCTGTCTCTGGCACCCATGCATTTGGTGCGCCAGTCTCACCTACGGCAGACAGCTCAGGGTCCAGAGATCCCAGAAGCGAAGGCTTGGGGGACACAAGCAGCATGCTGTTAGTCCCGTTGCATCTCTGTGGTTGCTCTAGATCACCACAGGAGCTAGTGAAGAGTTTCTCTCTCGCAGGTGCTCTGTTCTCTCGTTCCCATTCTCTTGCACACGCACATGTTCTACTCTTTCTCATCCTCTCCCTCATTCCTTCCTCCACAGTATGCTTTCTGTCTTCCCCTCCCTCCCTCGGCCTGTCCCTCAGTCGTTCTCTCCCTTATCCCCTCTTACGCTTTCTTTTCTCCTTCTCTCAACAGACATCTGAATGGCTCTCCTCTTTTATTCTTTCTTTTTTCTTTTCATCAGAGATGGGGTCTTACTATGTTGCCGAGGCTGGCCTCAAACCCCTAGTCTCAAGTGATCCCCCTACTGCCTCAGCCCCTCCCAAGAAGCTGGGACTATAGCCATGCGCCACAGAGCCCTACAGTGGGCTTTCTCACGACTGCTCAGACTTCAGGGCAATCAGCCTTCTGCAGGAAAGCAGGGCCCCAGCCAAGGCAGCTTTTCACCCACAACCCAGCTTGGCAACAGATCCAGTATCCAGGGTTCTGTGTGCCCACTGTATGTCCGTGGTGATCCAAGGGAATGACAGGGAACAACATATCCAGAGGAACAGCCCTGTGTGCCTTTCTACCATCAGACTAGTGGAATATTAAGAACCTTATCTTTTTAAGACACACAGTGAAATGTTCACAGATAAAATGATGTGATGTCTGGGGTTGGCCTCAAAGTAACACAGGCAGGAAGAAGAAAGCAGGGAGGGGTATATAAATGAAACAAAATTGGCCATGAATTGATACCTGCCGAATCTGGATCTGGGTGAGGAGTACCTGGAGGTTTATCATATTTTTTCTACATTTTAACATTTGAGTAAATAGGGACCCAGCCCCTGACTAGTGGTCCAACTAGATAACCACCAAAGTCACACTCATTATGATGGCTATTATTATTAATAAAAAACAAAACAAAACAGAAAATAACAAGTGTTGGTGAGGAAGTGGAGAAATCGGAATCCTTGTGCATCACTAGTGGGAATGTAAAATGGTACAGCCGCTACAGAAAACAATTTGGTAGTTTCTAAAAAATTAAACATAGAATTACCATATGATTCAGAATTCTACTTCTGGGTATATACTCAGAAGAATTAAAAGCAGGGTCTCGAGATAGCTGCACACCTATGTTTATAGCAGCATTATTCGCAACACCCAAAGGTGGAAGCAACCCAAGTATCCATCAATGGAAAAAAGGATAAACAAAATGGGGTATACACACAATGGAATATTATTCAGTCTCAAAAAGAAAGGAAATTCTGACATATGCTACAAGATTGATGAACCTTAAAGATACTATCCCAAGTGAAATAAGCCAGTTACAAAAAGGTAAATATTGTATGATTTTACTTATATCAAGTCCCTACAGTAGGCATATTCACAGAGACAGACGGTAGAACAGATGTTGCCAGGAGCTGGGAGGAGAGAGAGGAGTTATTATTTAATGGGTACAGAGTTCCGATATGGGATAATGTAAGGTTCTGGAGAAGGACAGTGGTGATGGCTGCACAATTGTGAATATATTTAATGCTACTGAACTGTACACTTAAAAATGGCAGATTTTGTTATATGTTTTTTACCACACACGCACACACAAAAAAAAACAACCCACCAAGGGACAGAAAAAGTCTCTTATGTTCCTCAGCTCTTGAAGGCCAGCTCAGGTCAGCCTAGACATCATACCTTAGTGAGGTTCTCAAAACAAGGGTGTGGCGAGCGTTGCTGGGGGAGTAGAGCTGTGGAGAAAGGAAAAACTTCTACCTAGGCACATGGTCTAGTGTCCAAACACCACCTAAGGAAAGAAGAAAAATAAGATTTTTTTTAATGGGTCTGAAGGTAAATGTTAAGGTAGGAAAGATAGTTTTAAAAACTAATAATAATAATCCAAGTGAAGGTAAGGCCCTGAAAAAAAATCCTCAAACATAAATTCAAAGCAGGCCACAAATGTCATCAAAGGCAACACTTTTCCCAGCCTCAGACCTGCTCTCCCTCCCCTATCACAGGCTGGTGGTTCAGAGCACAGACTGGTACAAATCCCAGTTCTACCACTGACTGACCCTGTGATCTGGGGCAAGATTCTTCACCTCTGTGTCTGTTTCGCCATATGTAAAATGGGCTATTATAGGAATCAAATGAATTAATATTAGGTTATTAAATATGAAATATCTAATTTCCAATCAAAAGGGTAGTTTATTATATCTCAAACAAGAAGCAGTACAGTTAACCCAAGTGTGCAGCTAAACTATCAACACAGAGTTTTGCCACCTTAACAGCAGCTTGTTTACGTCAGCAGTGAAGAAGCCTGGAGAGCGAGGGGCAACGAAACGGCAAAAGGTGTTTTCCACAGCTTCTCGAGAACTGAATATCTTTCCTTGTGAGAAGTGGTTCAAAGCCTGGAAGAAGTGGTGGTCAGTGGTGCTAGGTCTGGTGAATACGGTGGATGACAGAGAGTTTCCAAGTCCAGCCTCTGTAGTTTGAGCAGCATTGTTTGTGCGACATGTGGTCAAGCATCGTCTTGCAAGAGGATTGGCCTGTCTCTAGTGATCTATCTCAGCTGCTTAATCGCAAGCATCCTCATCATTTCGTCCAGTTGGTTGAATTAGACATCCACTGTAATCAACTGACCAGGTTTTGTGAAGCTATCGTGGATAATACCAGCACTGGAACAAATAGACACCATTAGCTTTTTTTGATGAATATTCGGTTTTGGACTATGTTTCGGCACTGCATCTTTATCCAACCATTGTGCCAAACACCTGAGATTGTCAAAAAGAATCCGTTTTTCATCACACGTAAAAATACAGTGTAGGAACGGTTGACCTTTATGTCGTGACAGCAAAGAAAGGTAAGCTTCGAGACAATTTCTTTTCTGATGCTTTGTTTAATTCATGTGGAACCCATCTATCCAGCTTCTTTACCTTAACGATTTGTTTCAAATGGTCTAATATTGTTGGAATAGTAACGACAAACCTTGCTGCTAATTCACGGTAGGCTGAGATGGATTCGCTTCCACGATAGCTTTCAGCTCATCATCATCCACTTTGGTCTCAGGTCCCCCGCATGGCTCATTTTCAAGATTAAAATCACCAGAACAGGCAGGGCGTGGTGGCTCATGTCTGTAATCCCAGCACTCTGGGAGGCCAAGGCGGGAGGATCGCTTGAGCTCAGGAGTTTGAGACCAGCCAGTACAAGAGCGAGACTCCGTCTCTACTAAAAAAATAGAAAAAATTAGCCAGGCATGGTGGCGCGTGACCATAGTCCCAGCTACTCGGGAGGCTGAGGCAGGAGGATCCCTTGAGCCCAGGAATTTGAGGTTGCTGTGAGCTACGCTGATGCCATGGTACTCTAGCCTGGGCAACAGAGTGAGACTTTGTCTCA